CAAGATGGAATGGCAGCATGGATTATATGGAAGACCAAGGGGTGTCGAACTGCCCCAAGGGCAGATAAAATGGTTTGCGGTAGAACTGCTGAAATTCAGGCCCTTGAAAAGAAAGGTTTTCCACATAGGATGGGAAGTGCATATGGGAATCCTCTCTTACCTTTCGGAAGAATGTTCCTGGGTTGCCAGATCGAGACAGAAATGGCAACCGTTCATTTAGGAGTGGTGCCTTTTGATTCTGCATGCAGACCTAAATGTTTACAGGCAGGATGATGCAGATGATGGACACTTGTGTTATTCTTTAGCCGATACTGGGGCAGAGCTGGAGGGATATATGTGTTTGAGTGGGGAAAAAATGACTGAATATAGCAATTCAGAACGACATGGAATGGAGTAATCGGGGGTGATATTGTACAAATGATAAACTGGCACGTGTTGTTTTTGCTCTCAGGGCCCCTCAGGAGAGCCGGGCCCCCCCGGTCAGCAGGGAAAGCCCGGTTACCAGGTAATCCATGTTTGAGTAAAGATCCCAAACCTACAGGTTCACATTTGTTCGATTCAGACACACATACACAACGTGGTTATGTAAATGATTATTTTTGTTTATATTATATTTGTTTCTCCCATTTAGGGTCTACCTGGGCCCCAGGGATCCATCGGAATGCCTGGTGAAAAGGTACCACATGCCCCCCCAAGCCTTCCCACCTTTGACCCCTGTCCTCGCCACCTCCGAGGTGGTCAGTGGAAGGAGTCATGTGACGCCTACCTGCGATACTATTGGCTCGAGCACAGTGCACTGACAGAGCTGCCTGACAACAGATCAATAACATATGCCAGAGTAAACGGTGTGCGCTGCCAGTCAGCGAGATGGGGGGGGGTTTAGCGAGGACATCGTGTTCCCGTGGCAGGAAGTCATAGCTTTAGAGGAGGATCTGAAAAGAAAACGCACGGTGGCAGATTCTCCTGGGGAGCCAGCGTGTCATGCCGTGTGTCAGTGTGCGGGCGACCCCCGGTCATCTCTGTGTGTGGTTGTTACTCACAGGGCCCCCCGGGGAAACCAGGCATCCAGGGACATCCAGGCATTGATGGCCCTATGGTAAGCAGTTCTGTTCATGGCCTGCAGGGGGCGATGTTGAGCGAGGCGGCAGTTCCACTGCATAATAATAGATAATGATGAGATTATACAAATGGTATTTAAAACGTGCTTGGTGCAATGACACAGCACGGCCTCCCCTCCCTCTAGCTGTCACTCACGGTGTGATAGCGCTTTGTGTTGTTCTGCTGTCTCTCCTCAGGGTCACCCCGGAAGAGAGGGCCCATCGGGGGAGAAGGGGCAGCAGGTGTGTGTCGGCAGACCCTCAATGCAGATGTGGCCCGTCTGTGTTTTTCTAGGCCAAACATCTGGGCTCTTCAGCACCTTCATGTCTCGCTGTGCGCTAATGATCTGACTCAGGCTGTTAGCAGAACTTCTACTGGCACCTGTGCTCGCGGCCCCTGCTGTTTTTGATGTTTTTGTTGGATTAAAATTTTTTTTTCCTTCATTTTGCCCAGGGTTTGCCCGGAAGCCAAGGCCCCATTGGTTATCCTGGACCCCGAGGCATGAAGGTAAGAGGATTCTGAGATGATGAGTAGTTTGCATTCCTCTTTTCTGCTTCCTCTATACAAGAAAAGAGTTTGTCCTTGAGCCTGGGTGCCTAATTGGGGCCCTGAGAGATGGCTGTCGGTCTCTGCTGAAGCTTGTGGGGCGTTTGGCGTCGGCGTGCCTTCTGGGCTGACCTTCTCTCTACTGCAGGGAGCTGATGGTCTGAGGGGTCTGATGGGTGACAAAGGAGAAAAGGTGAGAGGAAGAAAACTACCGACCGATCACAAGTACTACTTTGGCATCGACCAATCAAGTTGCGGACATAACGATTTTCAGGAATCCCATTGGATAATCAGTCACTAGCCACTGCAGAACCCAACCATTGAGATTTCTGATGGTCCAGGAGGCACCCCTGTTATTTACCGTTGTCGACCTGCAAAAATGGCAGGACTGTCGGGGAATTATATGGCATGATGTATTGCCTGGCTAGCGCACGTTGTATCCAATTAATCGCATTGTAAATCAAAGCCTGCTTCTGATGGGGGAGGAGCGGTTTTTCGGCCACGCGCACGCCAAGGTGGCGTAGAGGTCCCGTGTGACTCTGGTCTTCATCTGCAGGGCGAGGACGGCTTCCCGGGTTTCAAAGGCGACATGGGACTCGAGGGAGACCGAGTAAGAAGCTCTTCCTGTCAGTGAGGATAATGCGCCAAGCTGTTACCTCGCACTGGGAGTTTGAGCCGAATTAACCCCGAATCTGTGACTCTATAGGGTGACACTGGGCTGGCAGGGCCCAGGGGCGAGGATGGACCAGAGGGGCTGAAGGGCCAGTCTGGATCTTCTGGGGAGTCTGGGCCCCTGGGCGTCGCAGGGGAGAAGGTATCCAGTGCCGCCCTGTTTGTTTATCTGTGTGTGTTGGGCTGTGACTGCACAGCATGGTGATCAATTAAAGCTTCTCCTAAGCTAATACGTGTAATGATCTTAATGTATTCTCTCTCCCTCTCTCTCTGTCCCTTTTCATTGCTCTCAAGGGTAACCTTGGAGTTCCAGGCTTGCCGGGGTATCCAGGACGACAGGGACCTAAGGTAAAAAATAATAATAATGATGATAAATAAAAATGACTGGTTAGCGTTAGCCTGTCCCTGCTAACCCACGTGACTTTATCGCTGCAGGACAGGACAGGCCTTACGTCTACGTGCGTCTTTATTGGTTAACGAAGCCTTTGAAATGTTTCTCTAATGCTCTCCTTGCCTGCTCTGCAGGGATCGATGGGTTTTCCAGGACCTGGAGGAACGCCAGGAGAGAAGGGGAAAAGGGTGAGTAACAACGGGGCGGCTCAGGACGCCCATCTGTCGTCTCCGGCCCGCTTGGAACGATCGTTCTGTGCCCTCAGTAAACACGGCCGACAGCCAGTTGGGAGAGAGTGATAGACGGGTAAGAGGAATGCAGGTGTCAGGCAGAGAGAATGAGACCCGTAGGACCGGGACGAGAAAAACTACCCCTAACATGACAGTAGTACAAGTATATTTGGTTTGGGCTCATCATGCTGTAATTGTGCAGTAACTATGGCAACTGATATGTGCGTTCGTGTCTTTCTGCCCCAGGGCCGAGCCGGTCAGGCAGGAAGTGAGGGCGAGCGGGCCCCCCCTGTGAGTACATGCTTCAGTCCTTTTCGCCTCCCTTTGGTAAAGCCGATGGCTGACTTGTGTCATGTGACAGCCGGGCCTATAGAGGGCGCTGTCCGCAAATCAACATTTCATCCTCGTCTCCACTGTACTAAAGCATGAAGGCCTAATGGTTTGTCTTTGGTTTATAGGGCTTGCAAGGCGAGAGAGGTGCAGCAGGCCCCCAGGGGAAGCCGGGTACAAAGGTACGTGTTAAACCCCCCTAAAGTTCACCCAAAGTTTACATGGGCACTAGGTTTGCTCACCTAGTACTTTAGTCTAATGTGATTTAAAGCATACCCTGCTCGTGGGCCTTGAACCCACAACCTTCAGGGTCCAAGTCTAACCCTTTTATCCACAAGGCTACTATAGCCCAAATGTAGCATTCCTGGAAGTCAGAATAATCTTATTTTGCCCTCAATAGGAAGATCATGTGTTACCTTACATCATCTTACCAGGAATCGTTCACACGCAAGATACTTAACGTGATGTTACGCTTCAAATAGCTCATTCGGGCATTTTGTAGGCTGCCCTGGGTTCGAACGAGGATAAATCCGTAAGAAAGATGGAAGGAAAGAAACCGTGTTGAAATGTTCGCAGGGTTCTGCTGGACTGGACGGGCCGCCCGGACCTTCCGGAGAGCATGTATGTGTCACGCATGCGTCATATTCATAACAGAGCGCTTGCTGGCTGTGTGTTCGTTAGCAGTATTTTTGCCCCTCACAGGGACCCCCAGGGCCACAGGGCAGAAACGGGGAGGCGGGGCCTCGAGGACCTCCTGTGAGTCACATCAAACCCCTGCCTCATTTCCTGTGCCTGTATTTGTAGTCAGTGTTGTAGGTTAATTGGATAATTGGGTTTGTTGCAGGGGCCTGTAGGGAAGGACGGGCTGCCGGGTCATCCAGGACAGCGGGGGGAGCCGGTAAGTCTGACAGACAAGTGACATGATTCATGTTTCCCATATACAAGGGGTTTGTGATGATCACGATAGAATGGTGCACATGATGGAATGCGGGAACATAGTGTGATCTTAATTATAAGCAGAATATGATTCTCTTTGGACCTTAGAGCAGTGTCTCCCAATCCAGTCCTCCAGGGACCCACAAGACGGTCCATGTTTTTGCTCCCTCCCTGTTCGGGAGCAAAAACATGGACTGTCTGACAGGGAGCTCAGAGGGAGCAAAAAACATGGACCATCTGTGGGTCCCTGGAGGACTGGATTGGGAAACGTTTGCCTTAGGGTAATACATCCATCCATCCATCCATACATCTTCTAACCATTTATCCTGGTCAGGGTCACAGTATAGGCTACTGTATACCTGCTTCTCTAAAATGACCCTGCATTCCTAGCTTGTTTTATGACCATCAGAGCTATAAGACCCAATCACTGCCTTGCGATGGTTGCCCATATTATTGCGGTTCCCCTCATTGCGGGATCAAGGTGTCCATTAGCTTCCGCATGATGTAAACCGCTCTAGCTTCCATTGCTAAGCGGTGAGGGTTTCGGCCTGGAATAGCAGCAGTTTCCCGGTGGCTGCACCTCTGTCGCTTCTGGCTTCATGAAGCATATAGTTTTTGTCGAGACTCTGGGTCGCAGAGGTGCTGGTTCAGTTCTGTGGTTATTTCCGAGGTCGTACATTTGTGTTGTTGTTGTGTGTCACTCTATCCCTGCCGGTGAGCCTCGACTTTGGGCCGCTGCTCCTCCGTTCCAGTGCGGCTTGTGTGTGTTTGGTTTTTCTGTCTTAATTGTTCCCCTTGACACACTGAATAATTTTAGTTTTTGTGACTGTCGGACTGGCAATTTGGGCACCAGATCTTTGGTCTCTTTGGAGCTCTGTTAGTTGCCATATGTTGCCTTGAAATCTCACAAATGGCCGGGCTGCTGTCGTACCCTCTGATGATGTCACCCACACTGCACACTGGCTTTCCACCCAATGACTCACCTTTATGGCCCCGATGGTTATTTGTAATTTCAATACTGTTTTATGTGCTGGTTCTGTTATTCTGTATACCCCCTGCATGAATTGTGTACAGCAGTGTTTACCAACCTGGTTAACAGGGTCCCGCAAACACGTCACATTTTTGCTCCTTCTGGGAGCTGAAAGGGAGCAAAAACTTGGACTGTCTGTGGGTCCTTGTGGACCGGGTTGGGAAAAGCTTGTCTACAGTATGTTGAATGCATTTTTCATTTTAGTCAAATGTTCATACGGTCTTTTCCCATTTGCTCTAACAAGCTGGCATATTTAATATATAACATTTATATACTTTTTTTTTGTGCCTTTTCTGAGCCTAATATAAACTTAAAACACAAATTTTCAACAGATGCAGTAACATTAGTAAAATTACTTGTCAGAACCAATAGGCTTTGATGCAGTTGTCCTTGGCCCAGGTGAGCTATTTGACCAACAATTGCATCCTAACGGCCCTTTTTTCATCTTTTAGGGCTTCCCAGGGAAGACGGGCCCACCCGGGCCCCCAGGTGTCATAGGACCTCAGGTACTTCCTGTGTCTGTTACCCACTTCCTGTCAGAGAGACGGTGAGCTGTTGTGTTATATCAGTGCCGAATGGGTGGTACCTCAGGTACTTCCTGTGTCTGTAGCCCACTTCCTNGCTGTTGTGTTATATCAGTGCCGAATGGGTGGTACCTCAGGTACTTCCTGTGTCTGTAGCCCACTTCCTGTCAGAGAGACGGTTGGCTATTTTGTTATATCTAGATGCACAATCTGATATTTTGATCGGTATCGGCGCCGATCCAGACCTATATGACGGATCGGATAACGGCCATATGTGACCCATCCACATCTGATACTTACTTATTCAGGTTTTGCCAGCCTCTAAGGAGATCACTCCGATTTGTACAATCAATCGCACGACAGCTCTGTCCCATTTTAGATGTGTTTTTGCGGCATTCAAGCTGAGCCATAACGCTGAGTACTCAGTGGGTGTGAGCACACTGACTTCAACCTGCTGTGATGACATGTGCATATCCTTTGCAGTACCAGGAGCGTAAGAAAATCAGATAAGAGGGTAACTGTCTGGGGGGGGGGGTGTATTTTACGCTCTCTTTTAACAGTAACTAGTAGCACAGTGATTTGCAAGCTTTGTAAAAACAAAGTTTTGAGAGTTGGGTGGGAGCGGCGTTTAGTGGAAAATCCCACTAAACGAAGTGCACGCGTTTGTGCGAGACAACGAGAGTGATCTGAAAAAAGCAATGGATGATTTGGGAGCTGTTTCGCACACTCGCTACAGCTTGTGATACACGAGGGGCTGCTATCGCAACAAAGTGAAAGTGATGCTGCTGCCAAGGGGGAGAAGAATCGTGAGGCATGTTAAGCATTCGGCACTCGCGTATCCGCGCTTGGAAGATATTCAAACTGAACTGCAAATGCCTCAAAAATGCTTAAAACAAGATGTACAAACAATGTGGAACAGTATGTTATGTAAGTTTCTCTTATCCTAATTAAAGATTTTTTTTATCTGTATGTACTAGTTGAAAAATATTAATAATTTTGTAAAGTATAAATATATATAATATATTTATTATATTAAAATATTAAAGTAAACACAGCTCTTGTATTGGAAAGTTGGAAGGTACTTCAACTTACTGGGAAATCTGGGGGTTGGTGGCAGGATTGGCACTACAGCCACTGGGAAAATACTCACACTGGTCCATTCGGACTGGTGTGGTGCTGAGGTATCACCCACTGCACGACTGCACTCAGGCTGTCATCGCTGAGGTGGTCCGTCATGTGGTGGGTGCAGCAATGTGTTGTAATAAGCATACACCCTTTACGTTGTATCGGAATACATATCGTATCGGAATACATATCGTATCGGAAGACATATCGTATCGGAATACATATCGTATCGGCAGCTGTGTATCAGAATCGAATCGGAACTGAAAATATGTGGATCGGCTCATCCCTAGTTACATCAGTGTTGAATGGTATTTTTTGTGTGTTCTAGGGTAAATTAGGAGATACTGGACTGACTGGTGAAAGAGGCCATCCAGGTGCACCTGGACCCCCCGGAGAACATGGCTTGTCTGGAGCTACTGGCAAGGAAGGAGCGAAGGTGGGCCGAAGCTGCCGAATGGAAGGCGATGGTGCCGGGTTCGAATCCGCTATAGGCCGCATACCTGAGCTGGCTGAATTGTCACAATGAGTCACCTGAAACAGTCGCAGCGGCGACCAGTCATCTGTGGAGGTCACTTTGTGATGAGTGTTTATAGATCTGGGCTTGTAGCCCATTAAAAATAATAATAAGTTGAAGCCCTGGGTATTGATACATATGCCTTATTGTGTGAGGCCCCTTTAAGGAAACCCCACCCCAGTGCACACTTAGGGGTCCCATCCTTATCTGATAACAGGTACTAATAACGCACGCTGCAATCCCTCCACCCGTCTATCCCGTGCCGCATATCTTAAAGGCAACAGATTGCCTTCCATATGTCAGTGGTTTGCGGTAAGCTAATGGGTGACATGTCGGTAATAAACACGGTGATGTGTCTTTCTTCAGCGTTCCGCTCTCTGTCTGTCTGGTTTCCAGGGTGATCCGGGCCCCCTTGGGATTCCTGGCAAGAGTGGCCCCCCAGGATTGTGGGGATTTAGGGGAGCCAGAGGCGCGCCTGGTGCTACGGTGACATGGTTTTCCATTATTTAAATTTTTTTTTTTTTTTTTTCTCGCTGTCAGTTTTTGATAAGTTGACGAGCGGCTAGTTTTATATCTGTATGTAGCTTCTGCCTCTCCTCTTTACTCGGGTGCTTCTGACTGATATGGGATTCTACTGTGACATTCACATTTCTGCTCTGAAGCTCGGTGTTTCATGTGGAAACTGACACTGAGATATTCAGGGCTCCTCTCTGATGCTCCGTATCCCACACTGAAGTTTACGGTCGCGCCGCAGTGTTCGGAATACCCTCCCGAAGCTGAAGCTTAGCAACCTCCTCTGATGTTTGGAGTTCCTCGGCGTTCCTGCACTCGAGGCTCCGCTCGCAGTCGCGGTGACGGAGCACTTTGCATTCGGGCTCAGCTTTTTATTAACTGATGTGACGAGCTGTGAAGGGGATTCTGCTTATTAACCTGTGAAAACTAGAAAGCTTCTCGGGGGAAAATTTTTACTGCTAATAGCCCTGTGTATCTCCTGAGAAATAAAAAATAAATATATAAGCCATCAATATTTAAACTCAAAGTATTTCTGTCTGAATCGCTGTCGGTGAAATATACAGGGTTAAGAGAGATTTAAAAAAGAATGATCAGTGAATCGCATGAGAAATCATAGATACTTAGCCCGAAATATACGATTAATGGGGTTTCAGGAGAAGAAGCAGTGAAGATCTTATGGTAATTCCATTTCAAGATGTCCTGATATAATTGGATAGCTAATAAAGTGAAACTTTTCCAAGGACCACTGAGATCCATGCCTTAGACGCCGCGGAGCTTTATGCAAGATTGCTCACCAGAGATTCCTGGGAAATCAAAGAATTGAAGCAGTGATTCTCGTCTTCATGATGAAGCAATCTCATTTTTATATATGGGGGGGGAGGGGGACTGAGAAAAATAAATGTTGCCTTACATTTTTCTGCCTCTGACCTGAACTTCAGGGTGGGCCAGTGTAAGAGATGTTCCCTGATTATCCCTTCTGTCTCTACAGGGGTCGTCTGGGCTGAAAGGAGGTGAAGGTCCTTTTGGACTCGCAGGAGTCATTGTAAGTGTCTCTGACTTGCCATCCCACCACACGCTCAGTACCGTGCTATGATAGTTCTCCACTTATTGTCAAAGTGGCTTTAAGAAAAACAGCTACATTCTGCGCACATGGTCACATATAATTTTTATAATACGTAGGGATCACCTGGAGAGAGGGGACCTGCGGGAGCAGCAGGGGCGATTGGTCATCCCGGTCGGCCGGGCAGCGTGGGCCCCCCTGGGCCAATGGGAGAGAAGGGGGAGCCGGTAGGTTTTGGGGAGCCGTCAGTCACTGTGTCAGCGGGAATTGTCTGAAAGCGCCTGTCACGGGAACATTACCGCTCGTGGCTAAATCCCCGCGGTGACTGATTTGTTTGTCACCCTTTGTGGCTATTAGTCATCGAGCTTGCAGGAATACTCGCGGCTGCATTCATTAGGCAGGATTCATGCGTCTCGTCTCCCGGACTGTGAATGGAGGACAGCGAACTCCCTTGCTGTGCAGCACAGATCACTCTCAGCTTTCTGGCGGTGTCTCTGTCTCTCTTCACCTGGCTGGCTCGCTTCCTACGCCATGACTTGCCTTGACTAAGCTATGACACCATTAGTGTTTACTCATGCGTGTCGCCCCCTGTCTGTCGCACAGGGAGAGAAGGGTCCAGTTGGGCCAGCTGGACGCGATGGGAGCGAGGGCCCGTTGGGATTGCCGGGGCCAGCTGGCTCGCTCGGGCCCCCAGGAGAGGATGGGGATAAGGTGCGTCTGAGAATAGGGCTGGCCTCTCTCGGGGGTGGGGGCAGTGCAATTATTGCTTTATCCTGTTTTTTTTGCCTGTGTTTTTGTGGATATCTCACTGTTACCTAGTATAACATATAATGCTGTATGCAAATGGTTAGTGTCATTGAGGTTGTCTTTGTGTGTGTGTGTGTGTGTGTGTGTGTGTGTGTGTGTTGCTGTGTGCTGGGCAGGGAGAGCCCGGAGATCCAGGACAGAAGGGCAGTAAAGGGGATAAAGGTGAACCGGTGAGTTCTTAACCCATTGACGCCATTTTTTAAATGCTATTTTCCGCTATCACCATAAATGACAATGCAGCCGCCATCACTCTTTATTCTGGAGTGCAGCACTGCATTTCGCTCTTCCTCAATGCCTCTCCAGTGCGGCGTTTTTTTCCGCTGGTGCCACTGAATGGCTCTGATGCAAATTTAAATGGAACGCAAATGGCAATCATGCTCTTGGGGGCCGAATCTGTGACTCTCAGTATTTTTTATTGTTCCTATGCTCTCTTTTTCTCTCCGCCAAATTTCCACAATCCATATCGTTGCCAGGGACCCCCAGGACCTATAGGGATTCAAGGACCCATCGGTCAGCCGGGACCACCGGTACGTCTGTCTAGATAACAATGGAACCTGCATTGGTTCTTGCGTATGTGTGTTTGTGTTTGTGTGTGTGCGTAAAACTATTTCCTGTCTGGATGTCAGGGTCTGGATGGAGAGCCAGGTCTGCGTGGTCAGCTGGGTCTGTACGGTCAGAAAGGGGACGAGGGGCTCCAGGGATTTAAAGGTGGCACGGGCCCCATTGGGCCACAGGTGAGAGAAGACGCCTTACTTTGTGGCTGTTTGACATACCGGTTATGTATACATACTCGTCACTATGGCGATCCTGTGCACCTGCACATGGCTGTGACTGCCTGTGTATTTACCTCTTCAGGGGATGCCAGGCACCCCGGGAGAGAAGGGAGAGACTGGTGACGTGGGACCCATGGTGAGTGTGTGCCGCTTTACTGTAATGAAGGCAACCTTTTATCCTCCAGTCCATGACAGACTGATGCCCATGATATTCTGTGAGGGCCCTGTTACTGTGAATATGGGCCCCCTTACTCTGAGCAGGGTCCCATTATTGTAATATAAAGTGAGTGTGGGCCCCATAGCTGCAAATATGCAAATGTGGGCCCCCTTACTGAGAGCGAAGGCCTCTGTTACTCAGGGGACTTTCTAGGCTAGCACAACAGTAGCATAATTCATACAATGGGCCCAACCTTATTATTGGCCAATGGTATATTTTGAATCTGAGAGTGACAGGGGAGGGAACACTCCAAGGGCCAATCATCTGGGGCCAATGTCCCTTTGGCCCCACCCCTATATATGTGCCTGCTGTTACTGTAAATACTGGCTCCCTTACTGTGGGGAGGATCCCAGTGAATGACGAGCCAATTAAAGGAAACAACTGGGGCTGCCCGATTGAGATTGCAGCCTTGATAGGAGGCAGGGGTCCAACCTTGTTAATCAGAGTGTGTCCAGATTACTGTCAGTTCCTGCTTTCTAATGAGCTTCCCCCTATCTGACAGTGATTTCAAAGATTTGCCAAGTATGAAGGAATGTACTCAGATTTTTATTGGTCTGCGTTGTCCGCCATCCTCTTTCCCACACTCGGGAATGTCTGGGAATCTCTCTTTTTTTTTTGCCTCTAGAGCTCTTCCGGTGCTAACTAGCCATAGCGGTAGCCAAGTGCGGAATGACTGACAGTTTTGCTCGTCTGTAAGCGTGAAAGAAGATAGCGGGAGTAAACGAAAACACCAGAGAATGTGTAGGAATGTGTGAGCAATTAGCTGGTGCCAGGATCTCATTGACTGGTACTTTATGCAGATTCAGCATGTGTTTGTGCAGATGCTGATGTTTATGTGACTGTCTTTGAATGACGAAGTAGCTGGTCATATGATCTAGTCTAAATGTGTGGCTGGGAGTAGAGCAGCTTTGGTTCTTCAGAATTCTTCATTTGGTACTGGCTGGGTGGAATCTCTGCAGTCACTAGCTAATTAGTATGTCTCTTTTCAGGGCCCCTCAGATCTGCCAGGACCAATGGGCTCCCGGGGGCCCATTGGAGGAGTGGTACGTAAATCTGTTTCGTCATTGGGGTGTCTAACAGTCTCTGGGGGAAACAGAAGATGGATACAGAAACATATAGGCACAACGAAACACCTAGTTATTCATGAACACGGGTGGACACGACTTGCGTACATGGATGCATTATTCCTACTGATATGTTTGTGTCCAGTCCCACCTACTTTCCTGTGGCTTTTCCAGGGTGTCCAAGGAATGCCAGGTGGGGTGGGCCTGCCCGGTGCTGTTGGCGAGAAGGTACGTCTACTATCTTGAGGAAACCCAGCTACCTAGAGATTCCTAGAATTTGACTTCTATCATCTATCATGCCATGGGATTTGTTCTCAGTTGTGCCCACATCTGCATAGCTAATGGTCTGGCAATGGATATGGTGGGCTACAGGGAAGACCTACCTTAGGTAAAGCTCCCATGTCTTGAGGGTCATTATTCATAGACTGTGCAGATGATGATGATGATGATTTAGTTCACCATTCACGAGAAGATGTAAAAGATGAGCCTGTAACATATATCTGGTTCCCACATCTCAGGGTGAGGATGGAGAAGCAGGGAACCCAGGACGAGGCGGAGAACCTGGTCTTCCGGCAAGTTGGGCTCCTTTACCTTCTTTGTCTCTGAATCCTTCTGCTTCTGCCCATGCTGACCTGGTGATGCCTGCATTTATCAGGGTGAGAAAGGGGAGCTTGGCGAGAAAGGTGACACGGGTCCCCCCGGAGCTGCAGGACCCTCTGGCGTGAAAGGCCCTCCCGGGGAGGATGGTCCCAAAGGGAATCCGGTAAGATGAGTCAATGTCAACGACTATGATGCCTCTTTCCTTGACTGTCGCTTCCAGCTATGGCCCCTCTATCGCTCAGTTTTTTAATCCCCTCTCCCATTGTGTATCCACCCCCTTAACCATCTCCCTTCTTCCTCCTCTTATTACCCTGCCTTTTTTGCCTCATGTTCTTCCTTTTCCCCTGTTCCTTTCCTGAGGATTCGGTACACTGTGTTCGATTTTGGCTGACTTTGCTCTTGTAGCCCAGTAAGTGGATTTGACCGTCCCCTTCGGCCATTACCCGAGAGTGCAATTCCTTGTCAGGTACCCCCTGCGTCCGCTCTTGGCCTGCACGTGCCTGGGGGGTGCCGAGTATTGATTGAGTCGCTCAGTCTGTTAGCTGATCGATTGTGCCTCTGTTACTACTGTCAGCACTGGTACATGCGACGTAGTGGGAACCAGTCACTTATCGGACTCGTCTGTCAGTCAACCACCTGTGTCTGGTGTTGTTTAATCACCGTTGGTAGGCATCTGTGTTAAGTGGAAGGGAAAAATTGCCAGTCAAAATGAAGAAGGTTTTTGGGACTGATTTTGCCACTATTCAGCTCATCCCCATCAGCCTTCGCTGTGCTCTGAAAGCCACACAAAGTACACGAGGAGATTCTGGTGATAGATCTGTGTCTAGCTATGCTTTGTTTTTTCTACCTACAGTAAATGGTTGATGCTACAGTAAATGGTTAGAGACTTTGTCTTTTAAATGGCTGTTTCTCTGCAGGGCCCCATTGGATTCCCAGGAGACCCAGGACCCCCTGGAGAGCCAGGTGTCAATGTGAGTTATGGTGTGGACCAGTGTGTGTGCATGCATTTGTCTGTGTGTCTGGAGTAGGTTTGTACCTGTAGTTCTTCTGTCACCAGTTAGCAGTGCGCTACTAGTTTCTCATTACCACTGCTTTGCTAGTGGTGCTAACTTTAGGTGGCATATACTGCTAATAACTCTTTTCTAAAGAAGCTTCAGTGCCTCTAAGGCTACTGGTGTAAGGCCCTAAGAACCCAGAGAGATAAGCCGCTGATGTAACACTCAGCAAACAGGGAGAGCTGTACCTGAGATGGAGCCATCATTGGCAGACTTATCCAGCACCTCTGCTTAACTTGCAATTTCTTGATTTGTGTTTTGCTTGTTCTGGATGTTTGTTTGGTTAATTTTCCCATGTTTGATTATGTTTTATTTATTTATGGTTTCATTCGAATTTTCCGTTTTCGACAATGTGTTTTGCAAATGGGAAGAACTCCTCAGGCTGAGATTGGACTCAGGTCCCAAACTAAGCAGTTTCTCTTTGGAACTGGTGGTTAATCACTGTAGCAAAAAAAAGGGGGGGGGGGGTGGTGAGTTGAGAGAATGAGAAGAGAAAAAGGGAGTGGAGAAACTACAAGCCCCACCTGCCTATAGGGAACGTGAGATTGTTTCCAAGCAAGATGTACAAGCCCTACTTCTTGGTGGGGAGCCAAAATGAGAAATAGATGGTCAGCTGAATCGGGGGCTTTGCCATCTCACCGCCCTCAGGAGATTTCAAAAAGCAAAGGAGAAAGGTGGAGGGATAGCCGCCCTTATCGAGTGGTGTAATCCAGGGCATGTGACTGTGAGAGCACCAATCTGCTTCTCAGATATCGACTTGCTGGCTCTGGCCCCAGGGCTGCAGTGCTCGCGTTGAGTCCGCACATGCGGTTGCCGTTGTTTACATTCCACCAATGGCTCTGCGTGTGAGGCTTGTCGTTTGCTTTCAAGAGCAGCGCCCTGGTGCGCTCGTTGGGATCTCTTGTGGCTTCAGTTATGTTTCTCTCTGCAATTCCCTGAGCAAAATTTACACAGGATGTGCAGGATAAAGAGAGACAGGACCACCTGGCATGTGGTTTGCAAGCATGAATGGTGTGATTTGGTTCTCTTAACCAGTGCAACCTCAAGCTCATACATCTAATCACCAAGTATGAGCCCCTTACTCCAGTGGAAACCCCCAGCTTTGGCTCTGCAGATCAGCTTGGGACCTGTTCCATTTAGCAATGGGGGTTAGGGGACTTTCTTAAGAGTCCAACTGTGAAATCACTCTGCTGACCCTGGGGTTTGAACCAACAACTGTCTGATCACAGACACAGTGTCCTAACCCACTGAGCCACACACTGCCCCCATTTTATGGGTTGGATGGTGATGACATCATCAGCCTCTCTCACTTCGTCTCTACATTGACACGTTATGGGAGAATAATTATTCCTTGAGAAATGGTTTGATGATCCCCCAGACGACAAGCCGTGGATCACAAAGGCTGTCTGGAGACACCTCTGATTGAAATTAGCAAAGCCTTCTTCTTCTAAGTGTCTTTGTAGTCATATTCAACTATTTGATGGACGGGGCATATGCTTAGTGCAGTAAACAGCAATAATTAGAATATAAACATGAAAGATATTTAAACATGACTTCTTGAGACATACCCTGTGATGGGTTGGTGCCCCGTCCTGGGATATTTCCTGCCTTGCACCCGTAGCTTCTGGGAGCAACCCTCCATAGGACAAGTGGGTATAGAAGATGGATGGATGGATGAATATTGAGACATATTCAGACATGTGGGGGATAAATATATACATACATGCATACATACATACATACATACATACATACATACATACATGCATTTATACATACATACATACATACATGCATTTATACATACATACATACATACATGCATTTATACATACATACATGCACATGCATATATACAAACATTTATACATACATCTGTACATATATACATACACATAAATTCAGGATGGGGTTGGGGGGTCAGGTTCATACAGAAGGATCAGAAGAGGACGATCAGGAGGTGGAAATGAGAGAGAACAGAGAGAGGACTGAACACAGACTGGAGAATAACTTCACTCTCTTATTTATTAATTTATCATCTTTTTATTTGTTTTTAGGGGGGGGGGGGCATTATGCTGGGAGTTATTTCAGGACAACAAAAATTTCCCCCCAGGTCGATCAGAGTTTTATCTCATCTTTTCTTTGCTGAGACTGGTGGAAAATGCAAGCGTTCAGTAAGTGGATGATACCTAGAGGGAGGGAGAACGTGCTGGTGAAGGTCCGCTTTCGCCGCTTTTCACGCAGCACAGAGACATACGCAGAGAAAACCTGCTTTTTCTTTGGGGGGAATAATCTTTGAAAATCCCACATATATTAAAAGGCAGGTGCTGGGCGTTTTCCTGATACCGAGTGAGATCACTGTTCTTTTCCTCACCTGCATGGATTACGTCATACTATATCACTGTCTGAAATCTCAGTTATTTCTTGCGTGATTCAATTAACCCTTTTTAAAAAAAAATAATAATAATCTAATTTTCGCTCCGGTACCGGTCTTATAAGACATCACAGCTCGCGACTAAAAGTCGAGATCTTACGATTGTGTCGTGTCAACTCTGCTGTTCTCCCTCCTCACAGGGGCATGACGGCGGAACCGGAGAGAAGGGCGATGCTGGGGAACCTGGCAGGGCGGTAAGTTGGGTTTGCGTTCCCATGGAAACCAGGACCTCTTCTTGCGGTTCTTGATGACCCGCACCGGATTTCGACTTGATTTTATTGCGTGGCGGTCCACTTCTGTGCTAACCGGTCTGTGTTTTCATGCTCACTTGTCGCTAAAAATACATTTTCTCCCCGCAGGGTCCCCCGGGGGCTTCAGGGGAACCGGGGCCTTCAGGTCCCCCTGGGCGGAGGGTAAGTTTAGAGCCTGGGGGGGGGGGGATTTTGGATTTTGGGTTGTCTTTGGTTCGCAGCTCGTACAGGAGTCTTTGTGACGTCTGACCCTCGTTTTAAAATTAGATGCAGTTTTAATGATCGGTTCTCCAAATGTTGCCATGGTATGTGTTATATAAGCATCCTCACAAATATAATCACGGTTAATATAAGTAACTCTACAGCATAATCAGAGTCATGTACTTTGCCTGCTGATTGCTTAACTTGATGGTGGCAGTTTTGACTCCCCCCCCCCCCCCCAGTAATCATTAGCTAAATATGGGATCTGTACAGACCCTGTGCCAGCGTCTCTATCTGTGCTGTTTTCATTGGGTCCCTTTATTAAAATAGACACAGCGATTTTATTTCCTCGTGCTGTTTTTCGGCCAGATTTCACACAGTCGCCGCCAGCCGTCTGCAGAGTAACGGAACAGCACCCCCCGCAGGTGCCTGCGTGCGTCCGCGCGGTGCCCTGTCAAGATGAAGCCCAGAGTGCTGAAAGCATTGTTTTTTTTTTTTTATTTTCAATAAACTGCTGGCCGTTTGCTGTTAAATCGCCCCCATCCATCCACACGGTGAGGGGGAACTAGCTGGTGCAATGCAGCTGCACGGCTCCCTCTGCATTGGTCCTGCCTGTCACATGGGGTCACTGCTCCCTCTGCATTGGTCCTGCCTGTCACATGGGGTCACTGGGCCTCGCTTTACCAGAAAGGTGCACTTGGATTATATACTCCTCACCCAGGACTCATCTCTAAAAGCTGCTGGCATTTAGTTAGTGTGGTATTTTATTCATTGGGTATTTTTCACAAATCCCATCTTGTTCTCCATGAAGCACAGTGAGACACAGACCTGGCTCAGCCGGCATTGGGGCAGTTGGGGTTAAAGGCCTCACTCAGGGGTGCAGTGGTGATATGAGTACTCTGTCGAGCCTGGGATTTGATCCTATGACCTCTTGGCTACAGGCACAGATCCCAAACCTGCTGAGCTATGTGCAGCTCCGTGAAATAAGGAACTGTTTGAGCGTTTCGTTCGGGGGCCTCGTCCGTGATTTTTAGGAATGAAACGTCCCCCTCCCCTCCATCTGTCTTTCTCCAGGGTCATGTGGGAACCCCAGGACACGAAGGCAAGGAGGGGATGAAGGGGGAGAAGGTGAGAGCTGGAGATCTGAGACCAGGCTTTGATATTCTCTCTCTGGGTTCCTCCCAAGTTCTGAGTCGAAGTCCCCATTGCCCCCAACAGGGGGCGCCAGGTTCCGAGGGGCCAGTGGGGAAGATGGGACCGACGGGACCCCAGGGTCACCCCGGCAATCCGGGGCCGGAGGGCCTACGTGGAATTCCGGGACCTTCTGTGAGTCTGAAAGCCCCCACAGCCCAGGGAAAGTGGGCGCACATACACACACAAACACTCACACTGGGAAACCGTATTTGCATTCTGCCTGACACTTTCCGCTGACCCTTTCTGTCTCTCTCTGTACCTCTTCCACTCCTCCATTTCCATGTCCTTCTCAGTTATCTCTTCCCCCCCCCTTTCCGAAAGCCTGCTCCTTCGTGTCAGCCCTTGGACCCGTGACAAGGACACTCTGATGTCCCTATCTGGCTGCTCCACGCTCAGCTTGTGTCCCGCGGCCTTTTCCTGGCCCTCGGCTGTCCAGGCCGCCCTCGCCTGTCAGTCAGGCTGCGCCCGAAACTCCCTCCCCCCAACTACCCTGATTACGGCCGACGGGCCGATCGATGGCATGATTGATGCTGCCAGACTTGGAGAGAAATGGCGTCTTTATCTGCACCCTGAGCCGGGCCTGTGCGTGTGAGTCCGGCTTCTGCTCTCCAGACCTGAACACTTTTTATTTTTTTTCTCGTATTTTCCTCAGGGGGAACAAGGCCTGAACGGACCCCCGGGACAGACCGGACCTTCGGGACCAATGGTACGATTCCAACCACTCATCCTGGGACCGAGCGCCGTCGGCGTCGGATGGTCACAGAGATGGGAGGGGCTTAGGAACGCACAGGAAGTAGCAGGCGGACATGTTAATAAGGGAGGAGGGAAGGGAGGATAGGGGACAGATGGAGTCTTGGCCAGGCAGAGAAAGGCAGCGTTTCAAAAATGTTAATATCAAGCCAAATCGGACCCCCTCTGCCTGGTCCCTGTCTCACCGGCATGTGACCCTTCCATCGACCTGGTTCTGATCCGTGTCTCCCGCTTGTTTCCCAAAGGGTCCTCCCGGGCTCCCAGGTCTGAGGGGAGACCCTGGAGCTAAAGGAGACAAGGTGAGATGCCCAATTGTCTGGCGCCCCCTAGCTGTTTGGTCTGTGGTATGTTCTTGCGCTGACCCACATCTCTGTCCCTTTAGGGTCACTCCGGCCTCTTGGGCCTCATCGGGCCCCCAGGGGAGATGGGAGAGAAGGGTGACCGGGGACTGCCGGGACTCCAGGGGCCCCAGGGGCCGAAAGGAGACGGGGTAAGTACCACGACACGCATTCACAGAGGACTAACACAAATCACTGGATTACCCACACACACAGATATACACAAACTGGGGGGCAGGATGTCCTTACTCTTGTTATTTCCTCAGGGTGTAGCGGGGCCCTCCGGCCCAAACGGCCCCCCCGGACCCCCTGGCCTGTCTGTGAGTATCCCGTCGCCATGTCCTCAAACTCAAACCATGCCCAAATCCACCCAAACTATCAAAACTAGAAGAAAATGTCAAGAATATCAAGTACCAGTAAATGTTTTAGAGCATTTAGATGCAATAATAATGCATTTCCTTACATGACATTATATTACATTATCCTTCAATGCCATGGGGAGTGGCCACCATTACAGCAGTTCTGTATTGTTTTTTTTTTTGATATTTCAGTGTTTTTTGTCGTGTTTTTAGTTTGTCATGCTTGTAGGGATTTTCACACTAGGGTAAAGATTTTTCTGCAATTTATTATGGGATTACTGAAGTATCTATGGTGATACTTTATATGAATGCCTTGTTATAATGCATTCATAAAGCATTATAAGCATGTTTATAAATATTTATAACAAGGCACAACATATTATAGCCTTGTGTATTGTGCATCATGAAGCTCACATCTATAATGCACTATAGATACCTTCATAATGCAGGGCAAACCATCCTTAATTCTTATACCGACCATTATAATGCATTGTGAAGTTATTTATAATGCATTGTAAATGAGAGCTTCATTGGAGTTTATGAAGTATTATAATCAACACTATAATGCCTTATGACTGTCAATAGAAGATGCTATAATATTTTATTAATACTTATACTAACCATTATAATGCATTATGAAGGTATCAATAATTCATTATAAAAGGCAGCTTCAAGTAAAATGTTACCCTATCTGTCTGTCTAATCCAATGTTTTCCAGTCCGGTCCTCAAGGACCTAGAGTCGGTCCATGTTTTTGCTCCCTGTCAGACAGTCCATTTTTGCTTCCACCTTGCTCCCTACCCTACCAGGAATAAAAATGTGAACTGCCTGTGGGTCCCCGAGGGCCAGATTGGCAAACACTGGTCTAATCTCTTGCATTCTATCTGCAATGATTTTAACATACAATTATAAGTAGTTCATCACACCCTGGGCAGTTTGAAATGTTTCTGGGCTGTGGGTGGATATTGGCGTACCAGGAGGAAGCCCACGCGGACACGGTGAACATGTGACTTCCGTGTGTGGACACACTGAGCGGGGGTGGCATTGAAACCCCTAGCCGGAGAGGTGTGAACGCGCGGCGCTGCCCAGCGAGCCGCCAGGCACCGTGGAAATAACTCGTTTTACAATATCGGTTTGATCTGTTCATCTGTTGAACGAGATCTCGACTCCCACATATCGTCTCGATGTGAACTGGCTTTAAATGCTGTGTTGCTATAGATAATGGAAGCACAATGCGGTGCTTTCAGATGCTGGGTCTTTATACTGGGCTCTAACTTTCTGACCATTTTCTGCCGTTATTATTTCATATTTCTGTCCTGCGATGCCTGGTCCTCCCCCCTTCCCCCAAGTCTGAGTGCCTCAGCCCAGCCCGGCCGTTCCACAGGCCGGAGGAACTTAATGTCTTTGTCACGTCACCAGGGATGAAGCTGTGGTTCACGGATTTTTCCGGAACCGCGGGTACTGAGCTCCGGCGCTCGGCCGTCTCACTCTGTTGCCCCCCGCTGATGAAATCCGTCCTTGTTTTGATGTTTTTTATTTATTCCTCAGGTGCATTGTGTAAATTATATTACATTCCTTTTTCTAACGCTGTGGCACTTTTAATACGTTCCCTAAAAACCCGGCTTATGTTATATTTGTATAGCTGACACGCTTGATTTTTTTTTTTTTGTGACTTTTGCAGTTGCTTTCATCTTCATATTTTTTTCTGAAAGCAGGGTCAGAGAGCCCCTGGAGTATTTGGGGGTTGGGAGCCTTGCTCAAGGGCCTTATGGTGAAATGACACTGCCAACCCTGGGATTTGAACCAATGACCTTCTGCAGCATTTTAACCTGCTGAGTCACCATCCGCCCCCCATGCCTTTGCTGTCCAGGGGATCTAGGCAGAAGGTCTTTCTGAACGACTTTGGCTCAGGGTTCTGGCTTTCTGTTTCAGTGGTTGTACATGCCAGTCGAACCCGAGCCATTGAACATTTCCGGATCATTTTTCCATGCTGTAGCAAGCCTTTTGCCTGGTGCCATCGCAGACAAATTTTGGCCTCAAAACATACCGCCGGTTTTGATATTTATTGATGACCTTCGTTAAAAACAAAATCCCCACACGCAGCAGATTCGTTGTAACCTGGAGGTAATTTAAAATGAATTTTATACGGCGCGGTGAATTATTGTCTAGCTCAGAATCTTTGTGCTACTTTGTACTCGTTTGCCGCTGCCTCTCTCTGTTTCACGCTGTCTGTCATGTCAGTGCATTATTTATGATGGAATGTCCGCAGGCTCTTTTTCGAAAAAGTGTAACCGTTTTCGCATCCTCTCTCTCTCTCTGCTTGACTCCCTCGTCCAGGGCTCCGCCGGTGAGAAGGGATCTAAGGGAAACCAGGTGGGTTTGGTCGACTCTACTCCCCCCCCCCCCCATCCCCGCCCTCGTGAAATCCCAGGGAAGCATTTGAGTGCCTCTGGTCCACGTGTGTCTGGATTGTGATTGTCGGGGACAATGGCAGCTCCTTCGGGGGTCAGTTGCAGCCCTGAGTTGAGCCTGAACCGGGGCCAACCGTGTTACTCAGAGGACTGTGCTAAATTAGCCAGTGCCCGTTGAAGACCAACACATGACTGGTTCAACACCAAAGCTGGGGGTGTTCTACAGGTAAACTTCTGATAGAGTGATAGTTATTCATGGTTGTAGAAACAGTAAGAGAAGATTCTGGAATTAGATCTCTAGAGGAATTCCAGCACGAAGACGGTGCCTAAATTGTGAGCTTTGAGATACAACAAGGCTGGGAAGGAGGATCTTAGATGACGACATGACTGAATGATCTTTTTTTCTATAATCTTAGGGTTCTGTTGGTCCAAAAGGAGATACAGGACCTGCTGGTCCCTCTGGAGCTCCCGTAAGTATCTTCTCTCCTCCTTCTCTCTCTCCTCTTACTCCTTCTACTTCCTCCGGTTCCAACTACCACTTCCTTCTCCCTCCGTCCCTCCCAGGGGCCCCCAGCCACGATAATCGAACCGCTCCCAGTGCGAGGTAGCCAGAAGACCCGGAGGAGAGACTCGCAGAGCGAGGAGGTGCAAGACTACCAGGGAGACCAGGCTTCAGTTGAGGGGCATGGCATGGAGGAGGTCTACGCCACTCTGAACTCCATGAAGGCGGAAGTGGAGATCATGAGGAAACCTTTGGGCACGTTTGAAAGTCCTGCCCGTACCTGCAAGGAGCTGATGCTGTGCCGCTCGGACTACAAAGACGGTCTGGAGATCCGCCTGTCGATAACACTGTTACCATAGATATCAACATAGATCACTATAGATATCAACATAGGTTACCATAGACATCAGCAGAAGTCACCATAGATATTAACATATATCACCATAGATATCAGTAATCACCACAGGTATCAAATGCATTTACCATAGATATCAACAGCAGTTATTATAGGTATCAACATGGATCACCATAGATATCAACATAGGTTACCATAGACATCAGCAGAAGTCACCATAGATATTAACATATATCACCATAGATATCAGCAATCACCATAGGTATCAAATGCATTTACCATAGATATCAACAGCAGTTATTATAGGTATCAACATGGATCACCATAGATATCAACAGCAGTTACCATAGATAACAACATAGATTGCCACTGATATCAATATAAGCCTTACCACAAGTATGAAAAGTCACCGTAGAAATCTGCAGTCGCCCTAGATATCAACTGAAGTCACTGTGTCTATAGATATCTTCTGTTCTTACTAATAAAGATGCAGATACACATAATGCTGATCTCCTGATAGGGATTATTTTGTTTTCACACTACTGTCTGCATCTTGCACTCCAAACTCCGAGCTCCATTCAATCGACCGTTACTTTGTTTTGGCTGAAACTGATGTCATCATCTCCTATAAATAGTGCCTTATATATGACCATATAATTACTGATATGCGCACGGACATTACCATGGAGATCCATGCGGTTTTAATTGTATATTTTATTATATTACCATAAATATGACCCCATCTGGATAGCCATTATCAATTCAGGCAGACAGCCATTTGACAATATCAGGGGGGTGTTAATGAAGATTTTATCTGTCCCCCTAGTAATTTCATTTTTGCATGGCGCAAATGTTATGTGATGGAAATGGCGGGAATGGGGGGAGCTGGGTTCCGTGGGGGGAGTGGGGTGACTGTGATTGCCGTGGCTAATGGTCCCGTCGGCCGTGGGGTTCTGCTGTGGCGTGATGAGGCAGTTTAGTATTTCTTTGTGCCCCCCTCCCCCATCTGGCTCGGTGCAGGAGAGTACTGGATTGATCCAAATCAAGGCTGTCACAAAGACTCTTTTAAGGTCTTCTGCAACTTCACCGCCAACGGAGAAACCTGCCTGAACCCCGACAAGAAGTTTGAGTCGGTGAGCGCCGAGCGTTCCTCACAAATAACCCGTAACGTTCCGCCGGCTCCGGACCCCCCCCCTCGACTTCAGCCTTCTCTCCCCGTCCCCCCTGCTGCTGAACAGGTGAAGCTGGCAGCCTGGAGCAAGGAGACACCGGGAGGCTGGTTCAGCGAATTCCGGAAAGGCAAACAGGTGGGGGGGGGGGGGGCCGTGGCCGCCGGCTACACCGTCTTTTCACCCGCTTCCCGTCCTTCTGTCCGGCGCTCGTTGTGGAGCCGTGCCCATACGCGTGGGCGGCAGAGAAGCGTGTCGCTAAGAGTGCGCAGAGAGTGTCGCCACTGCAGTGCGAGGAGATTGAGAGTAACGACAGTGTATCTTCCTGCTCGTGGCATAAAACAGCCAAAGGAGTACAATGCTCTGGACAGCCGTCTCTCATCTTGTGATCTCATGTCATTATTTGTTAGCCTCTATAAAACCTCACAAATCACATATTCCGCTTCAGTCTTTTTCAGGTTGCTTTTGTGTGTGTGTGTGTGTGTGTGTGTGTGTGTGTGTGCGCGCGCGCGCACGAGTTCCTTTGCACATGAACCTTTCACGTCCACACGGTCACACATCATCTAATCGGAGAACACAACAATCTCTCACCTATTATACTCGCTCCACACCCCTTCCCCCGCCGGCCATTGTGTCCCTCTTCCACACTGGCTTTTAATCGCCCTTGCCGACGGGAGAGGTGAGTGGCCTGCTGGGCGATCCAGGAGATAATGTGTCAACGTGCAGTTTCCCCTCCTGAAAACAAAACGGGTAAATAATTCACGGCAGGAGAAGCGGCCTTTTACACAGCAGAGCCACGCGGAACGATGGCGCAGGTGGTGTCTTCAGTTGGGAACCACCCTCCCCCAGCCCCCCCCCCCATGCCTGATATGATTGCTCTAGTTGACCAGCAGGATAAAGCTCCGTTTCTCAGTGAAATGTGCCTCTGGGTAAATCTGCATGCCTATTTACATATCAAATATCGCCTCGTCTTTTCATGTAATAAAACTCGCTGTAACGGAGCTCTAACCCCAGCACAAAATACATGCACCGAAACACAATTTCATTTATTTTTTTTAACAACCATGATTTTGCACTTAATAGGGGAGTACCGTGACCAGAGGGTTTGGATAAAGTATCTTCAGAACCTGATGGTTTGGTTCGATATGGGGAAGATGGAGATTTGTTGTGTTCTGACGAGTGATCCTACAGTTAGCATGGATGGGTACAGGGATGTACAGGGTAGGCCGTTGCGATTCAGGCGCTAACATGAGGAATGGTTATGGGTTTCTGAAGGTTAAATTGAGCTTCACAGCGGTTCTGGATATCTGGACCTTGTTGTGAGGAGTTTCTGGATGTTTCTGAAGGACAGATTATGCTTCTCACAGTGGATCATAAAGAAGCGATCTGTTCTGATCTCTCCTGCACCTAGTTCTCCTACATTGACTTGGACGGAAACCCCATCCACGTGGTGCAGCTGACCTTCCTGAAGCTCTTCAGTGCCACCGCGCGGCAGAACTTTACCTACCTCTGCCAGAACTCCGTGGGATGGTTGGACAGCGCCACCAGCAGCCACCGGCAGGCACTGCGCTTCAGAGGAACGAACGAGGAGGAGCTGGCGCAAGAGAAAACGCCCTTCATCAAGGCCCTCCATGACGGCTGCCAGGTGAGGATGGAGACCATGCAGTATCACGTGAAGACGAATGTTAGCGTGGCGTTTAAAGTCATATAAGAGAAATTACGCATTGGTGTGGGGGTGCTGCTGTAATGGCGCTCGTTATTTATCAGTCCCGTGAAGGACAGGAGCAGACGATCCTGGAGATCGACTCCCCGAGATCGGAGCTGCTCCCCATCGTGGACGTGTCCGTCTCCGACTTCGGAAACAGCAAGCAGAAGTTCGGCTTCCAGGTCGGGCCCGTCTGTTTCAACGGGTAAAATCCACCTCGCGAGGTACACAAGGACATTCTCAGCTGGATAGCCTACGCACCCCCCCCCCGCCCCCCCACGAAACACCTATATGCATTTTCATCGTGGAGGATACGTGCTCTTATATTGACATTTGACAATGAAAGGGATGGGAGGTCCCTTAGCAAAGTGGCTAACGGATAACGCCGACTTTTTATAAAGGGAAGTCTTCTCAGACGTATTCTTGTTCTTACTTCACGATAATGTTAATGGAATCTTTAAACTGCTTTCCCCTCTCTACGTGGTTCATGGTTTGGATGCTTCAAGGTGAACCATCTAAAAACCTCCCAGGACAGATTGGCGGGCTGGTCTCACAGATGCCAGCCAATCAGATTTAAGAAGCGTCACTTCTGGGAGGGACTTGACCTCGACCTGACCTCTAGAGCAATTGGTCCAGAGGGTCCAGGAGAATCAATGAGCACTAAATGCGTTTTTCACACAGTGGATTGGACCCTGAACGCTGGTGAGAGAAACTGCCGACATACTACGGTACGCCTTGGGTTCTGATTCCAGAAGTATCTAACTCAGGTGTTTGTCAGGTTTGTCTGTCCGGTCAGGTGACTGGTGTCAAAATTAATTTTGCTCCCCCTGGGGCAGCTTTGTCTCCCCATATAAGGACATGTCGATGTCATCGATAGAACATCAAAAACACGCTCTGTCAGGTTCTGTACGTGTACTGTACACGTCTGTTTTTTGATATGTTTATATGTTTTATTTTGTATGTGTGCGTGCGTCCCACTAACTGAAGGTGCTATAAAACGTCAATTTTTAATTAGTGCTATTTTATTTCATTGTTTTGATGTTGATGGGTGTGGATTAGGAGGTAGCTGGGGAGGGGGGAGTGGGGGGAGGTGCTGCTGGGCTGATTTAAAATGCAGTTCAGCCTGTGGTACCATAACCAAGAGCCTCATTGTCTCCAGCACTGCGCTAAAATTAATCTCCAAGGCAACACAGAGAAATAGACAATTCCTCTGAGAACCCCCCCCCCCCCCAAAACAAAAGGCGTCGGGTTTGCCGCCAGGCATGTAATTCTGCATCAATCCCAGAATGCAACTGAAACACTGGCCGTTAACTACGCGTGACATACGATGGGCTGCTCAGCGGCTGGGGTTGTCCTGTGTAAGTGGCCCATCTGTCCTCTGCTGCCCTCGGTGGTCCCAGTGACACACCTGTAATGGTCACAATGGGAGCTGATGCCTGTTCAGACCTGTATGCAATGGAGGCTTATCCCATATCGCCGATATGCTTTATGAAATCAGTGATCTGGGCCTTAGTGTTGACTAAAAGGATTTTCATCGCTACATATTACATCTTCTACAGTTTTTCGTACGTGAATATTTACTGAAGCCATTCAGGTTGAGTACCTGTTCAGGGTTATATACCGGCAGTTATCCGTTTGGGGAATTTGAACCCACAACGCTTCGGTGGTTCCTTGCTGACCACTAGGCCGGCAGGCTGCCTGGGTGAGCGGTATGGGTGTGGGGCTTGTTCTGTGGTCCACGCCTGGGTGCTGGTGTTCTTGTGGGAGACCCCATTTGGGCATACACTGCTACCACTCTCATATTCTCTACAGTTATTGTTTAAGAAACCTGGTAAAATGCCTGTTAAAGTTTTGTATTTGTGAAGAATGACAAATAAAATGTAATTTAATGAATCAGCCTTGTGTGTTCTCTGTGCGAGGGATTTGTCTGAGCCGTTGGGTGTAGATTTGGGTATGGAGACCAAGACTGTGGGAGTACCTAGTGTGTTTAGGGAGGTGGAGGTTCTGGGCTGATTTGGTACCTAAAATGTCGAATCCAAATCTACACCTTTGGCTCAGCCTGAAGTTTTTCTCTGTCTGAGCAGAATGGAGGGAGATACAATCTCACAGTAACATATCAAATGGAGATTCAGGTTTGAAACTATTTCATTGGTATGAAAATTATGGTCAGGTTTTACTAAAGGCATTCATCCATCCATCCATCCATCCATCCAACTAACTCTTTTAACTGCTTATCCTGGTCAGGGTCTCAAGGTAATATTTTTTCTGCACATATAAAATATACAAAATGACCTAAAACTTATAAGACAAGACCAGTAACTAGCAATAGTTAAGCTCTAATAATGACATTTTAAAAGGGAATAAAAATGACTGTCGGCCAAACGTAACATTGCTTAAGTTCCAGTCCCTATTCTCAGGCACAGTGAAGCTCTTGCTGTGCGCTTTTCTGCCCGCTCTCTGGGAAGATGTGACCTGTTCACTTTTTCCTTTTACTGTTTGTTCTGAAACCGGGAGATAAAATATCACAAAAGGCCCAGATCTGGCTGAATCCGCTGCAGGCTTTCTGTCCCGATGTGGCTGAGTATCGGTCCACGGGAGGGACAGTTTATCTGTACCAGCCTGGTTCAGATTTTGCCGTTTGATGTTGTAATATCCCAGTTTGAGTCACTGATTTTTCCTCTTCCTTCATTCCATGATCACATAAACACTCACCTTGGCCATCGTCTTCGTTTACCCGACATTACATTTCCAGTTGTCCAAAAGGGGGCGCTCTTCTCACTTCAGTTTACCGTTAACCCACCTGAGAATCACGGGTGGATCGAGATTCTGCTGGACTGGGAGAATTTCTCCCAAGCAGGTGCCTTTGGTTGTGAATTCCGAGTAGAGATCAATCTTCATAATTAAGCCCCGTAATTACCGTTAATTATCTCTATGTGCACCTTAATGCCGGAAGATTCCAGACGGACGCTCACCTCCTCGCCATTCTGTCCGTGGAGAAGACATCCTGTTTAGCCACAGTGTAGTGCAGTCAGCTGGCCAATGCTATCAAAATGCTGATGGAATATTTATTTCCCACAATCCCCCTTTTATGGCCCTGGGGAGTTCTTTCTCTCCCCTTTCTTTTCATACGGCGGATGCCAAACCGCGGCTCGCCGATGATTTGCAGGTAATTTAACCCAACGCTGGTTGTTGGGCCAGCAGTCTAAATTAAAGTGCCTTCCGTTTCCCCAAAATGAATGGTGTGGTTTTTTTTTAATAGAAGGTAATAAATGCCACTTCTGTGGAAATATTTAGCTTCTGTGTTGTAATACACATTCCTCTTTTTCAGTCTCTGTCTGGATTCAGTGATGTGAGACAGCAGGGTTGTGGGGGGGTGGCTCTCTGGACGACCAGTGTGCCGAAACTCTGAAATCTTCCTACTGGATGCTTGTGGAAGTTCTGAGCCCAAATCCTAACCCCAAAGCTCGTCCCAGACTGGAATTTCCCTGCTGTACGATCGCTGCCTTATCGCTCGCCGCGTAGCTGAGCTTTCCGGGTCACTGTCCCCTAACGGAGACCCGCCCCGATAGCGTTTCCTCCCCCCAGCTCATTAGGGAGCCTCTTAATTGAAAAGCAGTAATTAACCTGACTGTTTCAGGAGTGCCCTGTCGGCTGGGGGGGGGGCTGTGGGCGATGGGGGAAAGGCGCGAGATAAAGCGTCGCAGATTGAAAAACTGCAGGGAGAAGGGAAGCCGATTTCACCCTCGAAGGACCGTGAAGCTGCAGGGGGGGGGCCCTGTGTGAACTGTAAGGGGACGGGGAGGCCGTGAACAGAAAGTGGTCACGTTTCCCGGCAATGTGTGACAACGTAGCCTGTTGCAAAGCAATGGGAGATGGGTCATCCTCCATGGGGGGGGGGGGGACTACGAATTTATGCAGATTTTTCAGTGAAATTTCAGTGTTAATCTGTGTTATAAAAGGATCCCCTTTAACAAAACCAATATTAGGCACACGGGGAGGGGTGGGGTGGGGGAGTAGCCAGAAATTCTTGGCCCCCTGTCAAAATGTGACCTTGAACTCCACCGCCAGCCTATGTGAAGATGTGGGCCCCCCCCCCCGGGAGGCACGTGGCCAAGCAGAGCGAGCAGCAGGTGTATTTAGGCAGGAGCTGCGGGGGGGGGGGGGGGGATGCCGCCGTGGCTGTTTTGGAGAAAAGACGGGGAGGCTGATCATACCTTAGCACTCCCTCCTCCACAGGGGGCCGGCGGGGAGGGGGGGGGGAGAGATGTCGCTTGAATAGCTATGCCTAATTAAAATATGGAAACCTAATGATCAGGGATGCTAACGTCGTAGCAGCCGTCTGTGGTCAGAGCTCCACGGGGCGTGTGAGAGACCAAGGGAAGGGGGCTGTGTGGGTGTGTGTGGATGTGGGTTATGTATATACTTACATGTGGGGACTGAATTTTTTTTGACACTGGGGGGGACCATTTTCTCAGTCCCCAAAAGGGGAAACTCAATTTTATAAAAATCAGTGACTGCAATCAAAAAACTAAAAATGCCAAAAGTCTTTTATTTTGTTTCGTCACTGATAGTTAAGGTTAGGGCTGGGTAGGGGTTAAGGTCGTCATTGTTAGGTTTTTGCCCATAGAAATGAATGGACGGTCCCCACAAAGATATGGATACAAATGTGTGTGTGTGTTTGTGAGAGGGTCACAGTGACAGATGTGTCTATGCGTTTGTGTGTATCTGTGTGCCATACAGCATCTGCTGTGCTCACGGGCAGCAGATATATAACAAACAGATCACTCAGGGCAGGAAGAGAAACTGACAGAGGAATCACAGTAAAGAACATGCCGGAACAAACTGACGCAAACAGACCTGTCGCGGGACACGTTGCAGTTCCATCTCTTGGTGGGCGCCTCAGAGGGGTGATTTAGGTTAATAAAGATTACGGTACTATAAGTACCAGTTGTCGTCTGAAGGGGGCGCACTCTCCACCTGCCCGCTCCCCGCATCACTGTGACTGTTACTCGCTCACGCGCGCATAACCCCGTCCTCTTCCCCCCTCACGCGGTGACCATCACGGCGCTAAAGGACCTGCTAGCCCGACGGAGGGGTGACTGCATTTAGCGCGTGTGGCTTGGCTACGCTCGCCTACCAGGATCAGAGGTGAATGTGATTTGTGCGGTTGTCTTTCACGTCGCCGAGTACAAATGCGACCCCTGCCCCGCTAGGCGCCCCCCCCACGGCGTTGTCGACGGCACAGAACTGCCGCGGCTAAGTGCCTGTCAGGCTGTGTGACCCAGACCACTGTAGATCCAGTCCAGGTCCGGTCATTGTCAAGAGTTTATGCCGTCCATCTTGGTGGCGTCACGTTTTGGGGTATCAGATGGGGGGTAGTGTGTGGCTCAGTAATTTGGGACACTGCGCCTGTGATCAGAAGGTTGTTGGTTCAAATTCCAGGGTTGGATTTCTGTAGAGTCCGGCCCTTGAGCAAAGCCCTTAACTCCACAGTGTTCCAGAGACTATCTGACCTGGCTTTCTTTTTTTAAAAAAAAAAGAGAGCAGGCTGGTAATGTCACGTCACTTTGGGTTTGGGCAACAGTGACTAAAGTCGGGATTTAATCCCTTTGAGAGCAGACAGGGTCAGCACTGAGGATGCCCCCCCCCCTGTTAACACTGGTCTGTGAATGCAAAGCTGCAGAGAGGAGCTAATTGAGGACTGGTCTGTATCACACAGAGACAGAACTGGGATTCTGAATAAGCCTGCTTCTGCGCAGAGATCAGATCCAGGCCCTGGATTCATTCCAGAATGCACCAGATAAAACTGAATCCTCACTCCCTAAATAACTAAGTATCTAAACAAACAGCATGAAATAAATGGCTTCCTCTGCTCTGGTAATACTTTTTAAATAAATGAAATATTAATGCGGCAATCAAGGCAGGGGAAATAGCTTGAAATAAAAATCCACCTTCTAATACCATTAAAGCTGAGTAAAAAAGGAGGTGTTTGTGTTTATTTTAGTTTAGGGAGATCAAGGCTCTGTTTTCCTGCAGCCAGTGCTGGTTGAATGATTTGTTTCCCAGCTCCAGGTTCCTCGCTGGGAGAATGATCCGGAATGGTGTGTGTTTAAACCCTGGGCTTCCCACTGTTTGCTCAGTGGGTCACTTTTTTTGTGCTGTATGACACCTATACTTATTTTGCAGCTTTTATACCATTTTAATTAATCTCTCTCTCTCTCTCTCTCTCTGTCTGCCTGTCTGTCTTTCTCTCTCACTCACTGTCTGCCTCTCTCTTACTCTGTCTCTGTCAGTCTGTCTGCCTCTCTCTCTCACTCACTCTGTCTATCCTTCTGTCTCTCTCTCCATCTGCCTGTATCTGTCTGTCTGCCTATCTCACTCTGTCTCTAGCAGTCTCTTTCTCCCTCTGTCTCGCTCTCTCTCCATCTCACTCTCTCTCTGTCTGTCTCTCTCTCTCACTCACTCTTTCTGTCTCTCCCTCTCTCTCTCTCCATCTGTCTGTCTGCCTGTCTCTCTCTCTCTCTCCTGATTTTGTGTTCTCTCTTACTCATTCTCTCCCTAACCCCCACCGCCCCCCCCCCCACATTAATTATCTTCCCTGGTATGCAGTCTGAGTACCCACTACCTTCCTAGTCCCCTTAATGAATTTATAAACAGTCCTCTCCCAACTCCTCAGTCCTCCAGAGAATGGAGTGTTTTGCCTAAAGGAGTTAAAGCTGGGCAGATTATATTTCATAGCGAGCACCACCCCCTCCTATGCACTAACCACCATCAAAAGGGGGTGTATCGTGCGTGAGAGGGACTCACAATTAAGTGCCATTTAAAAGTTTAATGAGAATCGACTGAAATCGACAGAGTTCAAACTAAAGCGGAAACGGTGGGAACTCGAGTCT